ACACACACACACACAAACAAACACACACACACACAAACAAACACACACACACACTGCCTTTCCCAGTATAGTAAGCATATACGCGCATTACCTCTTCGGAAACCATCGCATTTTTCTCACAGAAATACCGTAAAGAATAATACGGCTTTTTTACAGCCAATAATCGACAGAACATCAATTTCCCTGGCAAATTCAGTTTTCTAGAAATGTTGCAGATTCTTACCCGTCCTTTATAAATGGCTGATTTGACTACAGAAAATCCTCCAGCTCCAAGACGTCCCGTAAATTTGACATCTTTTGGATCAATTTCTTTAAACAGTGTTTTCGCAAGCTGAACATAATTCAGCGGGAAGAATCCTTCTTTTCCACTGCCATCCAGTGTTTTCCCATACCACCAGCCGTCTTCCCTGTAAAAACATACATGAAAACGTAGACAGAAAAGCAAAGGAAGACTGTATGAAGAGAGACATAAGTAATGTACTGGACTGGGTGACCTGCTAAATTTGATTCACAGCAGCTTATGTAGTACAAATGCTTTTTGATAGCAGGAAGCGTCCGTCAAGGCCACACGGCCGTCATTCACTGCAAATTCGGAGAACCCAAGGAGCTAGAATGCGATGCACACGGAAATGTTCCAGGATAGCGAGTAAAAAAAAAGCACGAAGTGAGAGATACCCATCGCGACGTATCACTTTTATCGTAGATCCCCGCTTCAATTTCAGCTCATCCCGGCTTTTCGGCACGTAATCATAATTCGATTCAACAACAATTGCTTTCGCTGGTTTCTGGTCGTCGCGACGAAATCGTACATCTGCAAATTTGAAGGTCAGGAATAGGCAACCACCGAAACACTGCAATGCAGCGTGCAGAGCATATGACAGAATGACAAGTACCTTGTGGATACAAGGCTTGACATTTTAAGTCATTTTTGCCAAAGCACTTATTCCTTCAAAACAGAGAAAACCCTATAAGCCTGCCAGGATTATGCCGATCAAGAACGGAGAGAAAAGCAGGGTAGCAGTGACTCGCCCCTGTTTGGTACACAGCAGATAAAAATTATAAACCCAACCGAAAAGGTGCAAAATCATGTGAAAGCAGTGAAAATTCTAGACGACTGAAGGATAAAAGAGTCTCGAGATCCAAAATTGAAGTGAGAAACAAAATAGTGCATCATGAAAAACACTACTTTTTGAAACGATGAAGATATTAAATTGCTCGAAAGAAACTTTCCGACCAAACGGCGCTAAATTCTTTTCACGTTTTCGAAGACAGGTGAAAAAATCGGATGTTTTTGAAATTCGAACTGCCGCAACATGGCACTCAATTTAAAGTAAATATAATTTATACATATGTACATACACATATTTTTATGCGTTCTAACTATAAATATGTTATTGTGTTTTGTTTTGCCGCCTCTCTGATTACCGAACGAGGTGAATGACAAAAATGCTGCATTTTAATGCGTTTTGCATAGAATTTATGCAGTCCAAAATAGCATATTGTCGAGGAGTTATCTGTGTGTGTGGGTCTGTGTATTCGTCCGTACCGATTTTTCATCTCGAGACCTACAAAAGCTACAAGGCTGAAACTTTGGGGATTTAATCTAAATGCACACACGGGTCCCCTCCGCAAAACAGTCGCCCTCGCCCACGTGGTTCTCAAGTACAAGCTCCTGAAAGATTTTTGCAGGTGGGTTGCCAACTCGGGAACTGAAAAGCCAAAAGGCTAGAATTTGAAGGGAACGTTCCCCGTCC